GGTTAACTTTGGCACTGGCTTAGATGGGAGATTTGACTTCAGCCCCTTAATTAAAACCTTCTTGATTTTAGTTGGTTTCTCTGGTGGGGAAATCGTGCGTTTAGATTGCTTTGAGGTAGTTTCTTTTTGTGTAAATGGATTAATATATACGCTGGACCACCATTTGGCATATGCTCTGGTAACTGAGGATTTTCGGTGGCTGAAGGTTGAAGGAAGCAACGCATCACAACCAGAAGAATAATGAACGGATGAGTCCCAATGCTTTAAAAATTCCTCTAAGGTGCAAGTACGAAAGTCATTTTTTAATTTTCCAGGAATATCTTGATGGTACCCAAATTGTCGGCTAAATCTGTGTGGACTATACGGCTCAATGATAAGACGGTCATTTTGGCGCAATGTCAAATAACATGATCGAAGATTGATTAGGGTGTCAAAGTCAGCCTTTGTCATCTCGCCATTATCTACAATAAGTCGCTCTTTTGAAGATCTTTTAGCCATTTGAGTTAAGTTTATTCCTTTACATGATCTGAATAAATTTTGGGTTTCAAAATGGTCAAAGTATCTTACTCCTCCTTCGCCTGCATATAATGTCATTCTAGGCTAATAGTTGGTATTAGGAATGGTGAAATTAGTTCTGAAATATTCACTCAACCATCCGAATACATACTGAATAGGAAATATCGCAGAGCAGCTTCCAGGATCTAGTGAGGAAACAATCTCGTTCAAGCCTCTGTAAATACTGGCCAGAACCGGGATGGAAAGACAAATGTTGCAGCCATCTGCTAACATGCTTGCGACCTTGAAAGTCCCAGGACGAATTATGTTGCCAGGGTGTGCAGGTAAGGCAAATTTGCAGAGCCAACATGCTAAAAAAGTAGCTAGATAAGTGGTGTCTCTCGATGTTTCATCTACACCAAGGTTGATAAATACTTCTTTCTCTTTGGTGGACATCGACCGGACAAGAGGGATCACACCAAACGGATTTTGAGTCCTCATAGGGCGGTGAACTTTATTTTTTGTTGATTTCTTTGAAGGTTTGGCATGTCTTGATGCACCTTTAAACCAGAAATTAATCCAGTCAGATATCTTCACATTCTAATCTCCTTTATACTTCTTGGAAAGTCTGTGGAAGGCCAAAAATAGGTGTTGACAACTCAAAGGGATAGAATTTTTGTTATTGCCAGCTCTTGATAGTTCATCTGCATAAGGAATAACTTCATCATAAATTGTTCCTTGGTGAGGGAGACCACCTAGCATATATAGATCTCGAAGAGAAATTGATAGCTTGCCAATAGAACAATGAAGTGTATTAGTGGCTGGGCACCAACATTCAAGGAATGCTTTGAATACATCTTCATGACGATCATAGGAAAATAGGGAGGCGAATAAAGCACCATATAGTTGTTGTTTTGATAGAAAGTCATGGAAACGCGCCAAGACATCTTCTAACCACTCCCAATATAGTTCGGTGTATAGCAATTCAGCAGGAAGTTTATAGGGAATACTCCATGATATTTCCTTCGCCTGAACATTAAGACCCAATAGTGAAAACTGGTTTTCTTCAACAACTCTCTCATGAAGTGAAGAATTGAGTATCAAGGCTTTAGAGACAATAGATTCTTCATTAATCTGATCAGGACCAAAGTCGGTGAGTTCGCATGTGGCCGTGCATGTCCAATGAGATGAACAATGTTTATTGTTAGAATCAGGCACTTGAATAGCATTGCGACCAAAAAGTGAGTCATATACACTTAATGTCGTTCCTTGGACTCGTTGACTATTTTTGCTCTCTAAGATAGTCAGCTTTTGCTTTGCGAAACACTTGAACACCACCATGATGGATACCAAAGCTCAAATCGGTGTTGTCTAGTTAGAGGATTCAATTTCTGCTACAGTTGACACAAATCAAGTTGTTATACCTAATCAAGTCCTACAAAGAAAAAAAAGGGGGTTAGAAAAAAAAAAAAAAAAAAAAAAAAAAAAAAATCCAGCTTGCGTGGAGTGAAAAAAAAAAAAAAAAAAAAAAAAAAAAAAAAAAAAAAAAAGAAGAAGAAACACACGTACCAATTATTTGTGATCTGACAAGTCTTCAGAAATTTTTGGAATTGATATCAAACCCTTCAATATTGAGAGTATATATAGGCAGCAAGATACCTCCAAGTTGTATTGGGATTTGGACAATTCAATTTAAATAGGAAAGTACAATTAAGATGAAAAAAAAAAAAAAAAAGAAAAAAAAAAGAGGAAACTTCAAGTCCCACTTGGAAAAAGAGACAAGTCTTGTCAAAATTGGGACTTAAAATGGGGGCAATTTGTAGACACTAAAATTTAGTGGGCTTTGGTTTTAACGAATGGACCCATTAAATATAGGCCTAATGTTTAAATAAATTATTTAATTTACCAGGCTTGGTCCACGTAAATTATTTAATTAGCCCAGCCCAGATAATTAAATGAAACGATAATTATTCCTAATAAAATATATTTTGAATAATTATCTTTAAGGATAATTATCACAATATAACCGGCTCGGCCCAGTTATAGTTTTTTCCTTATCAGGAGATGACACGTGTCATCATCCTATTAATCCAAGAAGCCTATAAATAGAGGCTTGGAGGAAGAAAAAGGAGAGAGGATTCAGAATTCAGAAGTTTACAAATTCAGACACAAATTCAGAATTCAGAAGTTCAGAGACTCAGAAATCCAGAGACTCAGAATTCAGACACAAATTCAGAATCGAAACCCAAAAGCGAAGAACATCAAGCACATCCAACAACGTGCCGTTCTTCATCAAATTCCACAGTGATTCAAGAACAAGCTCGTGCAGCTCTTGGATCCAACCAACCAAAAACAAGGAGATCGAATCAAAGGACCATTTTTTTTTTTTTTTTGTGAAAGATATTACAAAGGACTGTACTCCACATTCATAAATTAATAAAATTCTATTTTGCTCCATATTTTGTTTCTATTGCAGACTTACAAAATTTGTGTGTACATTCATCCATTGCTTTACATTGTACCAACCCAAAATATATATATATATATATATATATATATATATATATAGTTAGCCCAAGAGAGAGAGTATATTTTGGGTTGGTACAACGTAAAGCAATGGATGAGCATATATATATATATATATATATATATATATATATATATATTAATTTTTCTTTATTTACAGGGAGAACTGTCAAGTGGACAAGAATGTAATTCTTCTCTATTTAGGTGATTGTTCCCAGCTATTCTTATGCTTTTATTTTTTTGCTAGAGTTTGAAAGGAAAAAAAAATGAGAAAAAAATTTAAAATAAATAAATAAATAACAGAGTAACATATTGCACATTCCCCTCCCCTAGATCCTCAAAAGACAATTTTAACAGGTTTGTCTTTCAAGCATTGTCAAAAATCTAGCTAGGACCATCACGACCCGAAAATTCTATTAAAATCCTCAATTTATTGAAATACATATACATCAATATACTCCCATTATCATAAAATAAAAAAATAAAAATAATAAAAATAATAATAATAATACATTATCTTATACAAAATCAATTTTCTCAAATATATACACAAAATTATACAAATAAATAAAATAAATTATGCTTCCACCTAAGTCCGAAACTAGAAATCTACGTTCATTTTCGGTACTTGAAACTAGAGAGTGGTGAGACAAAAAGTCCCAAGTAAGAAAAATCATAACAAGAATTTCATGGAGGTTTAACAAAACAGCTTCACAAAACATACATATTCAGGTGAGTATATAAATAATATACATATGCATTTAATTAAAACATTTAATAAAAATCATTGAAACAAAATCACTCCATGCCATTCAAAGTATAGAGAATTGTATACTGAAAAAGATATATTTTCCTCACTGAATCACAAAGTCTCAGCCGCCTATGCAGACTCTCAGCTACTCTATGTCCTCAAACTCGGCTCTCTCTCTCTCTCTCTCTCTCTCTCTCTATTTTTCTCTTCTGTTTTCCTCGTACAAACCTAAACACAGGCACCTTATTTAAAAGTCATTCCACCGACTCCATACACACGGCAATACATCTCAATGCACCCTCAAAAAAAATTGTCAGACAAAATACCACATTTGAACCACAAAGTACATTGGCCCGCCACCATCACTTTCATTCTTTTCATTATATACATCGCGCCACAACTACAACATCAGCCCATTACCAGCCCACGCGAAGAAAACCAAAGCAAAAAGAAAATTTGGTCAAAAAAAAGTCTTCAGCGAGCCCCGCTCCACCTACCTTTCTTTTTCTCTCTCTAAGTCGGCCACTCACTTTTGCTTCCTATCAGACCAATAGATATATACCAATGTTAAAAAAAAAAAATGAAATCAACTATTTCAAACATCATTTTAAGTGGATAAAACTCCAAAAAAATAATAATCAATCTCTTATAATTAAAAATTATAAAATAAATATAAATTAAACTCTTAAAAATCCAAACTATCACAAAGACATGGACATCTCAAGCATCTTTTATCTTTAAAAATTCAAAGCTGATATATTTATATAATTAATGGATTAAGAAAGACGAACTAAACCAACTACATCTAAATATATTATGCATTACTCTTTGAAAGAAAAAAGGGGAACAATAATAAATTTTGTGTTGTGGTCCCCCTTCAATCTATCCATAGGTGGAGGACCCTTCGTCGAGAAATTATTGCTTGCAACTGTTATTGGTACAACAGATGTACGAGAGTAGTTGGATCATCACTGTAATGACGGGCTCTACCTGATCCAGCAGAGCCATGCATCCGTTGCACCAATAATGATTGCATTTAATAATTTCTCCCCTTGTCTCCTTATTTGGTTCAAACTTCAAAGTTTTGGGCGCTTTTGTCAAAACACGCTAGGGAATGGAAGATTGAGTTACTGTTGATTAATGGAAGTCCTTTGACAACAGGTCAGAATATATCACATCTTCCATCTTCACAACCAAGAAGCAGTGAACAGAGTTATTGGGACTAGCTATGGTACGAGCTAGCTTGATGACTCTTCTTCTAATCCATGTTCTCATATTTTACTGTTCTTGTAGCATACAATTTTGTAACGCCATAGACACAATTACATCAACTCAACCCGTCAACGACCCTGAAACTATAGTCTCCAGTGGCGCCACCTACAAACTGGGATTTTTTAGTCCCGATAATTATACTAACCGGTATGTTGGTATCTGGTACAATGAGATCTCTGTGAAGACTGTGGTATGGGTCGCCAATAGAGATAAACCTCTTAATGACTCTTCCACGACTCTGATAATATCCGAGGATGGCAACCTTGTGGTCTTGGATAGACAGAAATAGATTGTTTGGTCATCAGATGTTCCAAATTCTTCGGTGAATCCAACTGCCCAGCTTTCAGATTCCTGAAACCTTATCCTGTGAGACGAGTCCAACGGAAATATACTATGGGAGAGTTTTGATCACCCTTCTGATTCTATGTTGCAGGAGATGAAAATTAGTACCAACAGGTTTACAGATAAGAAGACTCAGCTGACCTCATGGAAAAGCCCTACAGATCCATCCACTGGAAAGTTCACTTCTGGCATCAATCCTCTGAATATTCCAGAAATTTATATATGGAGTGGTAGTTATTCGTACTGGCGCAGTGGTCCATGGAATGGCCAGTCTTTTATTGGCATACCTGCAATGTTTCCTGTATACAATAAAATATATGAATTTGTAGACGATAAAAAAGGAAATGTAATTTTAAGTTACAATTATGTAAATGAGTCTTCTCTGTCATACCATTCCTTGAGTTCTAATGGAACTCTTGCGAGGAAGCAGAAGAGAAAAGGAGAGGAGACTTGGGAAAATACGTGCTCGTCACCAAAAACTGAATGTGATGTTTATGGCAAGTGTGGTCCTTTTGGAAGCTGCAATGTGAAGGGTTCACCAATTTGCACCTGTTTACAAGGGTTTGATCCAAAGGATATGGAGGAATGGAGTAAAGGAAATTGGACCGGTGGATGTGTAAGGAGGAGACAATTGCAGTGTAACGCTGGTGGTGGAAAGGGCAAAGAAGATGGGTTTCTAAAGTTAAAGACAGTGAAAGTGCCGGCCTTGGTTGAGTTGGTTTTTGCTGCTGAAGATGAATGCAAAAGCCAGTGCTTGAATAATTGTTCTTGTATAGCACATGCGTATTGTAGTGGCATTGGTTGTATGCAGTGGAGTGGAGACTTAATTGACATACAGAAATTTTCCTTTGGTGGAGCAGATCTGTACATTCGTATCGCATATTCAGAACTTGGTAAGTTTTTTTCATCATCCTCAAAAAAATAAAATAACAGTAATATGTGGTCCTAAAAATCCTCTATTGCTTCTTCTGTTTGTTTTACTTGTGAATTTGAACCATTGAATATGCTACATGTTAGCCACCTGACATTTGTGCTCTAGTTTTAAGTATGCGTTCGTCTAGTTTAATAGCATAAGTATAATTCTTTTTCCCATTTTCCCACAAAAGAAAGCCATGGAAATTGTCTAAATTTTTATTTTCTTAGTCCATATTAACTCAATTACAAATTTCCTTTTGTTTTATAGAGAAAAACAGAAGCACAAAAGTAGTAATCCAAATTGCAGTGCTCAAAGGGTCAGTAACCATTGCAATCTGTCCCTATTTTTTTATGGAGGTGGACGGCTAGCCCAGGAGGTATATGCTCACTAAAATTAGCTAAGGAGATTAGCACATATTTGCTGTTATTATATAGATATATTACCTACTAAACTCTGAATCAGGAAGGAAGAAAAAAAGAGAGATGTTGCTGCCTATGAAAAGGAAAGTGAATCCATATCGTTTGAATGAAAGCTTGCATGGAGACAATCTAAACAAAGTTAAACTCGGAGAGCTACACATTTTCAGTTTTGAGATGCTGGAAATTGCAACAAACAAATTTGATGTCGCCAATAAGCTCGGGCAAGGTGGTTTTGGTCCAGTGTACAAGGTAATACTTGTTCATCTGAAAATTACCAAAAATAAAAAATAAAAAATTCCATTGAATCTTTACTTTCAGGGAAAATTGCCATCTGGACTAGATATAGCTATTAAACAGCTTTCAAGATCCTCCGAACAAGGGCAGGAGGAGTTTATGAATGATGTTGTGGTGATTTCTCAACTCCAACATCGTAATCTAGTTAGACTTCTTGGCTTCTGTGTGGAAGGAGAAGAAAAGATGTTGATTTATGAATACATGCCAAATAAAAGCTTAGATGGATTTCTCTTTGGTTTGTTCATGAAAAAGCTCTTTATGTTATTTCTAGTTATTTTATTTTTACAATCTTAACATATTGAGGAACTTAATTGCGTTGAGAAGACAAAATGCCATTCTTTTTCTAGTCCTTGGGGAAGTTTGTCTCAACATCAATTTTATTGTCCCTACAACTTTAACCAACTTAAATTTTCTTTTCTTCAATATTCTTTTAGATCCAATCAAGTAAAAATTTCTAGATTGGAGAAAACGTGCCAGCATTATTGAAGGGATTGGTCGTAGCCTTCTTTACCTTCACAGAGATTCCAGATTAAGGATTATTCACAGAGATCTTAAGACGGGTAACATTCTGTTGGATGAAAATCTAAATCCAAAAATTTCAGATTTTGGCACGGCAAAGATTTTTGGGGGTAACCAAGAACAAGCCAACACTAGAAGGGTTGTTGGAACCTAGTAAGTGCTTTTTGCTTTGCCCAAAATGATCAATCATTCATGTGATAATCCTTCTTTCTCATGTGGGTACTTCAACTCAAATAATTTTATTGCTTGGGCTTTAACGAGTCTAATGACACAATGTAGTGGCTATATGGCCCCTGAATATGCAATGCATTGAAGATTTTCAGAAAAATCTGATGTCTTTAGCTTCGGAGTATTGTTGTTAGAGATTGTAAGTGGAAAAAAGAACACTAGCTTTTATAAGGATGAGCACTCTTTAACCCTTCTAGGATTTGTAAGTTTACTTGAACTATTGCCTCCGTTACTCCATATGGTTTCCTTTTAATCATTCTAGTTTCAACGTTTCATGGTTGTGTTACTGTGTCCAGGCCTGGAAATTGTGGAATGAAGATAGGATTGAAATGCTAATAGATCCAACAATTTCTGATCCATGCTTTCAAGTTGAGATCTTGAGATACGTACATGTAGGACTGTTGTGCGTGCAAGAATTCGCAACTAATAGGCCAACTATTTCTACTGTTCTTTCAATGCTTAGTAGTGAAATTGCTAATCTTCCAACTCCGAAGCAACCTGCATTTACTGAAATATTGGGCCTCTCAAACAAACGATCTTCTCAAATGACCCGAAGAAGGAGATTTTCTACAAACAATGTAACTCTAACAAGCATTGATGCCCGTTAGCATACAAATTCTTGTGAATGCTTTTATTGTATATAAAGACTATAGTTATGTTCAAAGTTCAAACATAATTATGTTCTCATCAACTGTATTCAAAAGTCAGTGTTTGCCTATATATTCTTTGTTTTTAAAAAACATTTTGGGCAACCGGGAAAAGTATACAAGTCAACATTATCATTGTATATATATGTATTTTTTCCTTGGCAGCCAAAGAAAAAAGGGTAAAATGCAAAAAAACCCCTTGAACTATACTCTCTCTCTCCCTAAAAACCCCCCTGATCTTTTTTTTTTTTTTTAACATTTAACCCCATAAACTATCCAAATTTTTGCAAAACTTACCCACTGGTAAGGTTCCGTTTGGTTCCTCCGACTAAATAGGCGCGTGATAATCACATGCCAGGGCTATAACTTTAAAATGACAAAGCTACCCTTATTGTATAAAACCAAAATTTTTGATACTTTCCAAAAAAAAAAAAAAAAACCATCCAAAATTAAAACCTAAAACAAAATGAACCCCAAAACGTCGACTCTCTCTCTCTGTATCTTCTTCCCCAACCAGCCACTTCCACCATCCATGGACACCACCACCGCCTCTCCCTCTCTCTCTAATCCAACTCCATCTCTTGAAGAAGATGAGAAAAAAAAATTAAGACAAACAACAACCCCCTCTCTTTGTTTTCTAACCCTAGGAATCCAACTTTTCCTGCAAAATTAAAGAGTTTGCAACAATCAACACCCCCCTCTCTCTCTTTTTTCTAGACCCTGGAACCTAACTTTCCTGCAAAATCAATGCAAAAGAAGAAAACACACAAAAACACACACAAACACACATCGCAGAAAACTCTAAAATTAGGGTTGAACACTCTGCAATCCAATCGGGTTGGGTCTCAGCAGGTGGGTCAAAATCCACAAGCACTGGACACAGCGATGATGATGACAAACAACGAAGGCGACGACGGTGATCTAATTGGGTTTCAATCTGAACATCAATTCGGCGACGAGACGATGCTCTCGATTTGGGTTCGCTAAAACAAGCAATTGGGTCTAATTTGAACAATCAATTCGGCGACGAGTGAAAGGGGGGTGTGTCGCCGGCTGAGTTACGGTTCCGATGAGGAGTGTGAGGGTATCAACGGAAAGGAGTGGTGAGGGTTTTGTTTGGATTTCAATCCCTCTGTTTCATATTCAACTATTTCTCCCGAAAATGCTTCCTCTTGATATCTTCAATTCTCTGGACAAGCACAGATATATATATATAGACACACATACATAGAGGGAGGGAGAGAGCTACTGTTTATGCTGCCGTAGTTGGAGTGGCGAAATCTTGCGGTTAGGATTGATGAAGAAGATAAACAGTGTAATGATAAGGCTGTGTTTGGGTAATTAGGTGTAACAGTAAACTAAGGTTGTGTTTGGGTGTGATTTGGGGATAAACCATCAAAACTGCATCGTTCCAGTAAAGGATAATTTTGTAATTTTCTTTTTCCGGTGATGGAAACTTGCCTACTGTCCTTAAATGCAACTTTTTAATAGTTCAGGGGGGCATTTGTTAATTCAAGGCGGTTTTGTGCAATTGGTTGATAGTTCAGCGGGGTTTTTTGCACTTTACCCAAGAAAAAAAAACAAAGAAAATCGTCAAAGTCGTTGCGTTTGATTAAATCATTAGATTTGATGTAAAAGTGGGACTGCCCTAGATGCAATTCAACGGTTAATATTCCAAAAGCTGATTCAAGGAAGCTTCAAATGCATGTTTAAATGCTAATCGTAATAATATAGTAGTAACAAATTAAATTGACTAAACACAATCTTGATTTGAACAATGCTAGAGAACCATGGTGGGCTTCATTTCTTTTTCTTCTTCTTCTTTTTCCGGTAAATAAGGTGACTTCATTTTTCTTGTATGGCCTTCATCTTAATTAGAAATATTTTTCTGTAACTTTAATGCTAATGTTTTTCAATGGTTTAAGGGTCTGGATTTAAAAGTTAGTTTGCAAAAACTGTAAGAATCTTCTGTATTACAAATTCAATGCTGATTTTTATTTTTTTCTTTTCGGATTGGTAATTTAATGCTGATTTTGGTGTATAATAAAATGTTGATGAGTTGGGAAAATAAATTTTTCCATGACCTAAATTACAAATTGAATGCAAATTTCAGTGAATTTCTTCAGTAACAATAAGCACTGAAATAGTGTGACAACTCCGATTTTTAAGAGTTGAAATTTAATTATTTAATTATTTTTAATTATCAAGATTGATTATTTTATTTTGATTGAAGACTTTTACCCAATTGGAGATTCGATTATGATATTTTAGTTTGTAAAGGATTAAACTTGGATTATTAGTATTTTGTGCCTTTAGTACTTGTTCTTACTAGATTTGTTTTCATTTTTTTTTTTTTTTTTTTTTTTTTTTTTTTTTTTTTTTGTGTAAGATGAAAAGTGAGTCTTGAATTCTATATATGATGCGTACATACATATATTTGTGGATTGCATGTTTTTTTTTTGTGATGTAGTCAGCCGAGATGGAAAGGAAGGAAAAAGATAGAAATGGTGACGATTCTGATAGGGTGCACTAGGACAAGGATGAGAGTAATGGGTTTGATTTTCACTTCTTTTATATATATATATATATTGGTGAAAAAGCATGCTGCCAACGAAATTGAGAGTAAGAAAATTGAGGTGGTTGATGGTTAAGTGCGGGTCCCACGTGACTTTGTTGTTTTTGAAAAGAAATGGGTTTTGGCTTTGATTTTTATGGAAGTATATTATATTTGTGATGAAATGTTATTTTTTTAATGTCAAATTTTACATATATTTTTAAAAATCGTGATTTCTGTGATTACATATGTTAATATTCTATTTTTATTCTAATATTTGTCAGTGTTGTTGAACCTGCATCTAGTTTCTAATTATTTAATGCCTATTAATTTTAATGATTTGGGTGTACATTTTGAGAAAGAGATGAGTTAAAAAACCAATTGGAATGAGTTGAGTAGGAAAAAAGCTAAGCATATCATTTTTACATTGTTTATCAATTGTTTATTTATTTATCTATTACTTCGAATTATTATTATTATTATTATTAAAACAAGATCAATGAATATTTAGTTTTTTGTTTTTGCTTTGGAATCTTCAAATGCTAATGGAGGTCACTTACCTTCAATGCTTTCAATTTGGTATGCCCATTCTTATGTTTTGGGTTATGTATGGAAGCTTAGTTATTTTGGTTAATTCGTTAACTTATTATCCAATTTATTAACATTGAAGAAACTCAAATATAATAATTTTTTTTTATTTTGTGGATGTTTAATTAGTAGTGATGTGCAACAAGAAGAGAAGGATTCATCTGTTTACTGTAAGGTCATCCGTAGCAGCTTCTTCGAAATTTTGCTCTCTAAATTAGCTACGTCAGTTTTTTCCAGAGTCACGTATGTAGTTTCTGTTCTCCAAATTAGTTTCTATTCTCCAGATTTTTACGCTGCTGCAACCTCTTTGGATTTTCGCTCTCTAAAAATAATAATATTTTTTATTTTATCAATGACTATATTTATAACGACTATATTTTAGTGGCTATTTTTTTCATCGTACATAATAATTCATTTACTCATCATTTGAGAATCATCACTAAATTCCATCTCTTTTATTGTAGCAAAATATCATTATCCATCTCCTTCAATTTTGAAATTTCAATGGCTTCGTCATCACAAACTTTTTCTTTTCTAGACTCAAATTCTTCATCTTCGTCATCTTCTGAATCATCTCACTCTTCAAATGACTATTAACGCATTAATTGAACGAAATCAAGAATATTTTCAACAACTTTTGAATTGTGTGAGGCCAGAGATAGTAGAACAAGTCTTTCAAGTCCATAAGAAGCAGAACATTCATCGTGACTAGGAGGGAAGCCATCTTCCATATATTTTTCAGGAATGTCAACCGCTTAAACGACGTCCACCTAGAACAAAAGCGACGAAGCAGCGCTGAGATAAAAATAAAGATTCGAATTCAATGTGTAGTTTGTTCTTAAACAGTTTTAATGATCTTAAATCCCGTATTGAGACAAAATTAGATAATCTTATGAATGCAAAAATAATGCGAGAGGTAAGAAAAATGGAGAAAGAAAAGACTAAACAGTTGGAGATTCAGGAGAAAGTACGGGGAAAAAGAGAAGGAGATCATTCTAATAGATTCAAATTCGATGCCAACACCAGAAGGGCAAGAGTGGATTCATATGCGACAAAGGGAGATATTAGAATCTATGCGACAAAGGTTGTTATAGCCTATTTATTTACTTAATCCAGGCTTGAAAATTGTATTGTTTCTATTATTTGTAATTGTTTTTAATTCATGTAATGGGTATTGCATTGCATTTTTTTTTTTTTTTTGGTTATTGTATTCCATAATGTAATGTATTGTTTCAAGTTATAAAATATTTTTACCAGTTTTATATTATTGGTTCCTTTTTATTATTAAATAAGATAACAGTAAATAATTTGTATAAATATAGCAGTTAAGAAAAAATTTAAAAAATATTTATATTATTTCTAATCCGAAAAATTGCAATTTCATAATAAATATTCTATTACATAAATTTCATAACATCTTCATAGTATTAAAAAATAATAATAATAAAAAAATAAAAAAAAATTTAAATGTCTTAATCACCAGAGTAGTTCCATATATCTTCAATCAAATCTTTCCTCAACCACGCATTTGTCTTTCTATTGTGAATCTGGAACCTGTGAGTGTAGATTTGTACCACTAAAATTGATGGGTGTTGACTAAAAGTGGTAATCCAGATTGTCTCCTCCAATGGCGAAGTCCATCTTTCTAGATTAGTGTACCGCTCATCTTCAGCAATCATATTGTGAAGGATAATGCACATTATCATTATGAGGCACAAATCCTCTTTCTTCTAAAAGATTTGATTAGTCCTTGCGTGATTGCCCACTTGATCTATAAAATCCCAAAAACTCATTCCACATCTTTGTAGACCTCTTTTTT